AGGGACAGTGGGGAATTGAACTCCCAACCTCTGGCTACACAGCCAGAGACCTAAACCAGAGGTTCACAGCCAGAGACTTAAGTGCTGTAAGTGTTACAGCACTTACCACAAGCTGCAAAAGCAGACACACACTTAACAGAAGTAAAGATGACAGGAGAATGCAGAAAAAATGTTTTATAATTGAATAAGTTATCCATTATAATTTACATATAACACACATTAAGTATAAGCTCTGGAAAATTGGAAGAAAAAAGATGGAATGGCTAAATTCCCTCTGCAGGTCATCAACAATACAATGTACTTCTTCCAAGGTAAGTACTCTAATTCCGGCCCCTCTTGTCTTTCTAGCTTTTTAACTCGAACACAGATATAAAGCAGTTTATAACGTGGATTTGAGCTACTTGGCTTGTTGTTTTCTGTAGCTGCAGACGCATCTGACCCACACTAAGCCAATGTTTACACAGCCTTTTAATTCTGAATGCATTCTTAACGGGTCCTCTTCTTTTTCTTAGTCGGTACATAATCTGGAAATGAGAGAATAAAAGCAGTCATCATCCAAAAAGTCAGCAGCACATAGTGAAGAAGAAAAAAAGAACCACTAACTGGACAAGGTCAATGAAACCAAATCATTTTGCAGAAACGTGGAGTCAAAGAACTGGGCTAGATGAGGCCAAAAGTGCATCAAGCAATGACCAACCAGATGCCCAGAGGAAACTCACAAGCACAACATGAAGACAACAGCCATCCCCAAAGCTAATCCCCAGTATACTGAATGACATACGGCCATCATGAGTACCAGTGATTACAATCTCAAAGTGGAGAAGGGTATTAAATAAGTGAAAGAGGAAGTCCACTGTGTCACATCTCCCTTTGGAAAGGACACCCAAATGACACATTATACCAGAAGTGTGAAGAGACGGTTGACTTTGCATTACTTCTTCAACCCTGTTATTTAAGATGCCAAGGCATCCTCCATTACAAGCCACTACAATCTCCAGAAAGCTCAACGGTGTATCCAACAGCACCTGGAATATTCGGGACCTCACCAGGCATCCTCCACATCATTTTTTTTTTGCTCCATCAGCTTTTAGTCTTCACAAATATAAGCTCTTTTGCACAATGGTCTGATCAGCTATGAACTGGCTAGCTCTTTTAATTCAAGCATAGGGTCATAATGAATGCGGTGTCTGTAGCGTTCACCCTTTGTTAGGTATAAGTCATGTATTATTCATGTTCTATGCAAATGTAGTCGAGAGGTGGAGCCAAGAGAGAGGTTAAAAGGCAGAGCCTGAGACGAGGAGTTAATCAGTCAGGAAAGAAAGTCAGTGAGTTAGTTAGAGTCAGAAGAGATAGAGATTGGGTTAGAGACTAGTTAAGATAAATAGGGAAGGTGGAAATTATATGGCAAGAGAACAGTATGTTCTTCTGAAGAACTTCTGTGATTATTAAATTGGCTTCACTTTAATAAATAAGTTTAGTTTGCATTCACTATACAAGTGTCTGATCAAACGTCGTTTATTTTGTGGATTGAGGTAATCCACTGGTGGCAGTGAAAGGAAAACAGGGCTGGAACTTTTGTGAGGACACAAAACATAGGTGCCTCTAGGTGATTGTCACAGTGTCCTTTCCAAAGATGCTGACCAAGTGCCTGACATCGGAAATGCAGGACAGAACACAAGTGGATTAATCCGACAATGGCCAGTCTCAGCAAAGACGCCAGCTTTTATTGCAACTCAGAAGCCTGCGAGTCAGACTTTGCCCACACCTCAAAGTGCCAGGTTGATAAAATCTAAACAGAGACCAAGCTGCTCTCCCTCGGATCATCCTCTCTGCAAATAAACTCTGCATAAACTGCGGAACCCAGGAAACTACTCTGTTGAGTAAAAAAGTAACTCACTATGTAAGATTGGCTTTATCTGGAAGTGCATGTGTGCACGTAGGTGCATAAGAGAGACTATTTCCTTCCCTTCTTCCTAAACCAGCTCCTTTTTATGTCTGAACATTTGGCTGCATTGGTTTAAAATGGGAGTTCTTCATTAAACATTGCCTAGTACCACATGGCTGCAAGATGACTGTGTTTAAGGCTTTTGTGCTTCTGGGCTTGGGACAAGAAAATGTAAAATAACGTTCTCTCTATTTTCCTATCGCTGGGCTGAAGAAAAATGGCTTGGCATGTTCTAGATGGACCAAGTACAGTGTCAGGAAGCTTCACCATGGTGGCAATCTATCAGCAATGTGGGCATGGCAGAGTGCAGCTCTTCTGGGGGGGAAAAAGGGAACCACCAGCATATAAGGTAAAAAAAAAACCACACCACCCCTTTGCCCAATGCATATCACCATTCAACCTACCCTCATCACTTGAATGGTCTTCTTCTTCACTCTCACCCTCTACGATCACAGGCATACTCAGGTTCTTGGCACTTTGCTCCCTTATGGATTGCAACAGACCTGCAAAAATGATAGTAAAATCAAGGAGAAGTTATTGATTGATTGATTGATTGATTGATTGATTGATTGATTGATTGATTGATTGATTGATTGATTGATTGATTGATTGATTGGACTTATATACCGCCCCATAGCGCTACAAGCACTCTCCGGGCGGTTTACAATTTTTAATTATACAGGCTACACATTGCCCCCCCCAGCAAGCTGGGTACTCATGACTTATATTTTATTTATTTATTTATTTAATTTATATGCCGCCCACACTACCCAAAGGTCTCTATCATGCTAATTTGGCCTCTACTTCTTTCTCAAGCCAAAAAAAAGCTTGAGAAGGGTTGTCCCTACAAATATTCTAAATAAATACCATGGTAAAAATTCTCTTCATGCAATAATCCAATACAGTGGTGCCTCACTTAACAATTACCCTGCATTACGACGAAATCGCCGTATGACGATCTTTTTGCGATCGCAATTGCAATCGCAAAACGATGATCTAAATAGGGTTTTTTCGCTTTGTGATGATCGGTTCCCAGCTTCGGGAACCGATTCTTTGCAAAACGATGGGTTTTTTAACAGCTGATCGGTGATTTCAAAATGGCCACTGGGTGCTTAAAATAGCTCCCTGCTGTGTTTAGGGACGGATTCCTTGCTATACAGGCAACGAAAATGGCCGCCGTATGGAGGATCATCACTGGACGGTGAGTTTTTACCCCATTAGAACGCATTGAACGGGTTTTAATGCGTTTCAATGGGGTTTTTAATTTCGTATTATGATGTTTTCACTTAACGGCGATTTTCCCAGAACAGATTATCATCGTTAAGCGAGGCACCACTGTATACTATTGCAGTCAAGGCAGGAGTGGGGAGAGGCACCACAAACCCATCCATTTCCAAAGATCTGGACAACAACAACAGGTCTCAACAGGATGCACATAATGAGGGTGCAAGATGGAGGAGTTGTACAATCATGGAGAAATCTTTTTCACACCCCACTCCTTCCCACACAGCCACACCTCCAAGAACATCAGCACTGATCAGAAAGACTCCCTTGGCGCTCTCAGCATCTAGATGAGTTTACAGGGAAGGAGGTGCTCCATTACTCAGACGCAGCACACAGGGCTTTATATGTTAAAAGGAGGGGCCCAGACAGAGCTTAGGAGCAAACTGTCAACCACTAGAGTTAGCAATTAATTCCCACCCCACCCATCCCCAGTCTCTCATCATGGCAAATACCTCTCTTTTGCACAGTCTCTGCCCTCTGCATTGGTTGTGGCGTTTTTCTAGCTTTCTTAGCTCTAGGTGATGTAGTTTTCCCATGATCCGATCCTGACTCAGAAGACTCCAGCTTAATTTGGCGATGCCGTCTTGATTTAGAAGTCTAGAAAAGGGGTTCAGTTCAGGTAAGTAAAACAGGCAACAATGAAAGACTGAAGAATAAGTGTGCTCTTTAATACAGCCATCCAATGAACCACTAGGGTCTGTTCACGGTGCAGCTTGGGAAGGTGGGGAGAAGGGACGCAGTTTCAACCACAGAAATGGTGCCAAGGGACAGGTCAAGGTCACAGCTCCCGTCTAATGAGTTGCTCTTCTTTATGGTTGTTTCTGAGCTTAGAGAAATATTATCCAAGATACCAAATCTCCCACACATTTCTTGCTCTTACGGCTTGGAATCCTCTTGCACTTGACATAGGAGAAAGTGACACCTGCAGAAGTTCACGGGGACTGACACCCAGTCAGTCCTCATTGTGCACCTGATTCTGCACTTGACAGTGCAATTCTTTGCATGGCTACAAAGTGGCTTGCGGGGCAGGACTTCTGCCTTGGCACGACATTTTGCAACTCTTTGAGCAACTACAAGTTACGAAGGTGCAGCCATGCAACAGGATTTTGGTTACTGAATAAAAAGGAATTTGTTGTGTTTTAAATCTTTATATACCAGTGCTATAATCTGCTAGTTTGGCAAGAATTATACAACTCTCATACTGAGGGGGTGTGCATGTGCCTTTGTGTAAATTTCAGGCTGCTTTGCAATGTACCTACGTTGCAAAGCAATGGTCTAGAGGTATAAAAAGCTACTTCGATGCCCTGCTATCTGTAGCTGCTTCTTACAGGACAAATTTCTACCACTGGGACACTGAAAACTGTTGCCATTGTCATATTTTTAACACAGACTTTCTTGTTCAGGATGCAAATCAGAACTATGTATATTTTCCAAACATAAATCAAGGATAGAAATCAGAACAGTCAAGAATTGTAAGAGCTATAATTCTCCACCATGTGGAAAAATAGAAAAGGCAGTAAGACAACAGCCTTTTAAGAACCCATCCTTACAAAGGCAGAGAATTAACGAGTACTGTTTTTTATACACTTACTTGAGCAACTGTAGAATAAGATCTAGATTTGATGTCAGCTAACACTCTGGCTCTTCCAGCTCCCTGGAAAGAAAATATGACAAGCGTCATCTCTATGTGGCTTAGTTTTGGATTGCTATCCATTTTTAAATCCACTGGACCGAATTATCCCTATTGTGTGAGAAAAAAAATATTAATCATTACTTTCAAAGTGCAACTATAATATGTAATATTCATATTTTCTACAAACCTACTCTGCTTTAAGGGCTTCTCCAGCTACATCTGGGGGACACAAAGGCAGCACTCGGACTAAAGCAAAAGGGGTGCTTCAGCCTCTACAAGCAAGAACTGCAGAGGCAGACTACAGAATCGCTATATGGCCCATACCGTTGGGCACCAACGATTGTTATGGAACCAACTCTAGGAAGAAAATTCCATTTTTATTCAGAGGACATCCTGAACTCCTACTTATGTGTTCTATAGAGCTAAACCATGAATAGTATGAAGGATGAATAGCACAAGAAACCATTCATGCCAGACTATATCATAAAGTCAATTGGCTCAGGCTCTTATTGCTTTCCCTTAATTTCAAGCACTGTTGTATTTCCTTACCTCAGAGTCTTGCGAAGAACCTTCCTCTTCATTTCTCACTTCTTCATGCATAGCCGCCAAAGAGGGATACTGGAAGAACACACAGGATTGTGTGTTAAAAAATAAAATGAGACTTTGCTTGTCACACTAACACGTTCAGTGTCCTACTAGGATCCACCTGCCCCTTGTAGCTCCTCCATGCTACTTGAACCCTATTCTGGTGGCTTTTCCCATCCCGCTGCTACAGGTCTGAAGGACACACTGGAGGCTGCAAGGGAAAGGAAACCTCCCTCCCCTGATTTTGCTGGTGGAGACAGCTCCATCAGCAGAACAGCAACACTGGATCTGCCTACCGTGTGCAACTGACACAACCTAATTAGGAGTGAGAACGCTGAGAAGCTCCAAGGGCTGTGCCCACAGACACTTACAGAGGAACCCTGTTTGCTCATGCCATGCAGCAATACCCAGCAGGTGTCATCTGGATGTCTCCCCACATGTCTGCAGATCTGCCTTTTTCAGGTTCATGCAATCCAATCTAGTGCACCGTGTACTCTGAAACTTCTCATTACATTCTGACTCGCAATGCATACGTACGTAGCCACTGCCAAATACGATAATGTCTAAATACTATAACAAGTTAAAATCAATCTCCAAACCAAAACATTCCTTCGTCTTAATTCACCTCGAATTCTGAAGCATTTCTGATGCATGAATAGCCTCCTGATCTCTTATTTGTTCTCCATTACAGTCGTGCCTGACTTAACGATTATCCCGCATTATGACGAATCCGCTTCACGACAATGTTTTTGCAATCGCAAAAGAATGTTTTAAATGGGGCTTTTCCACTTTGCAAAGATCGGTTCCCTGCTTCGGGAACCGATTCTTCGCATTACGATGATCAAAACAGCTGATTGTCGGGTTTTCAAAATGGCCGCCGGGTGCTCAAAAATGGTTCCCCGCTGTACTTAGGGATGGATTCCTCGCTATACAGGCACCGAAAATGGCTGCCGTATGGAGGATCTTCGCTGGATGGTGAGTTTTTAGCCCATTGGAACGCATTAACCGGGTTTTAATGCGTTTCAATGGGTTTTTTATTTTTGCTTTACGACGTTTTCACTCTACAGCAATTTCGCTGGAACGAATTAACGTCGTTAAGCGAGGCACCACTGTATAAAGTATTAGAATCATAGAGTTGTAGAGCTGGAAGAGACTCGAGGATCATCTCGTCTTAACAGTTAAGTCCACTGGGGTAAGGAAACGTGAACCTGACAGGATTCAAGATTCCATGCCCCAGTGAACTTAATTTCTAGATTATGTTTACTAGATGCTTTAATCATGTACCACCAATGTTACAGAACTCCATCCAATTAGACATCAATCACCCAAAACCTTTAAAAAAAATAAACTACTTTAATCCAGTTGTCTGTTTTGCCCAGAGCTACCCTGATCTCTAGTGTCTTTGACACTCATTGCAATGGAACAAAGCAATCCCTTACTGCTACTTAACCCATGCAAATCAAGAAGCTACTTGAAAAAGTTGAATGTTTTCTTCTATGCCAGTAGCTCCCAACCTTGCACCCCCAGAGGTTCCTGGACTAAAACTCCCAGAAGCCTTCGCCATTAGTTCTGCTGGTCAGGAATTATGGAAGTTGTAGTTCAAGAACATCTGGGGAACCAAGGTTGGGAACCACTGTTCTGCACCCATCGCCAAAGTAACCCATGGACCAGAACTGCACAGGAAGGGTGCATAAAGCAGTATTTTCACCGATGGCCCCAACTGTGAAACAGTCTACTCGTGAACCCACACCTGGGATTCTTTCAGGATAATGGCAAGAACCCTGAAAACGTATTTGGCTAGCGACTGCAATACGTCACACTGAGAGTTTTTTGAAATGTTTTTGCTGTTTATCATAATCGAAGTGACTAGGCTTTGGGACAACATGAATTATAGTGTTGAATAGATAAATTGGTAAGTGGCACTAACTTCAAAATGGGAAATGGCATCCAAGTTACCTCCAGAGCCTCAGTTATGACACAAACAGAGATCACCCACCATTTTGTTCTTTTGCCACTGACGATATTCCAAAACAATGTTCTTGAAACTGGCTAGGAAGTCGTCTTTTATCATATCGATAGCCCTGTCTGGCTCCGACTGATTCGTGGAAATCAGACACTTCATCTTTTGATAATGCTCGTGAACATTCCTTGTCTCCTTAAAATGAAAAACATAGGTGTGTAAAACACATGTATGCAAAATGGAATAGGTTTCTCTGTGTGTGGCAATACTTTTTTAGCCATTAAAAAAATGGTGCAATTGTTCTAAAAATCAGAGCAAGCTGAACGTCCCACAGGAACAAGAACTCCTAAGAAATTATAATTCACATTTTATTTCACTGTTCATAAGTTTGTCTTTAAACATATACGTAAGGAAAGGGGCATTTATTTTAGAAGCTTACAAAAGCTTATCTTACAACTAAAATACTGAAATGTGAAAACAAGGAAAAGAGAACTTGTGCTCTGTAGATCAGAGGTCCCCAAACCCCGGTCTGCGGCCTGAGTCAGACTGGGCCGCGGAGACAGACCCCTCCCCCACATGCATTCCCCCCCGCACACCCCTTTTGTGCCTGTGCACACACCTGCACCCAGATGAGTGCTCCCCCACCCCTTTGTACAGGCGTACGAGTGCCCCAAGCGCCGCACCACCCTTCATGCATGCCCACAAACGCTACAGCGCCCTTTGCACATGCGCATTAGCATCCCCCACATGAGTGCCCCCCTCCTTTGCGCATGCACGCAAGAGTGCACGTGCTCCTTCGCACATGTGCCCGAGAGCAGGGGGGGTATCCCGCCTTCCCCAGTCGGTCCGCGGGGCTAAAAAGGTTGGGGACCGCTGCTGTAGATATCTCTAAACAAGACAATCAAAACACAGGACCCAACACACTAACATTTTTCTCAATAATTTATTACATTCATAGTTCTTGCAGTGCACTACGGACGTACACACTATTACATATCCATCACTGCAGTGGGTCAAGAATGAAAAGCAAGCAGGTTGGAATACATGCAAGATGCTATCATACAACAGTCACGACAGGACAAGGTGTGAGCTATACCTCTAAGAATTCAGCTGGGCTCAGCATGGACACTCGATCGGTTGGGTCCCTGAATTCACCTGTCATCTCCACGCTGTTATTCATTTTCTTTTTTGTCCTGAATGAAAGCTAAAGAGAATCACAGGTCAGTATCAGAGAAAAAGCTGGTTGTCCAAATTCATCCACTTGCCTGAAATGCCACCGACATTCCAAATATTCTGGCATCAAAATAACTGTACTTTTCCATATGCAATGCTCATCTCCAAATCCTTGTGAAGTGTGTATTCCGTAGAACAGAAAGGGGAGTCCCCTTTAGGTTTACCTGGCTCCTAAGAACAACTGAAAACTTCCAAAGTTTTGTTTTCAGTTGCGCACAAGAGTCATTTAATAACATTCAGCTCCTAAACGCACAGTTCTGTTCATATGTTCTATACGGCTTTGGATTTTTAAAATGAAGCAACGGCCACGAACATCCATCATCAACCAGAAATGAGCTCTCCAAGAGGAGAAGCAGTACTAAGAATATATTGCATTTTACACCTGCAGTTTGAACAGCCAGGATAGCTGCCTCTGTTCTTGTCCTTTCCTCACAAGCAAGGCATCCACTTCTAATGTGTTGTGACAGATGTATGGCCCCATTGACTTGAAACCAAAATAAGGTAAATAAGGCAGAAGGAGTGCACTAAAAATACTCTCTTTGTGCCTTTCCCCCAACCCAACCCACTGACTCATTTCCCAGCTCAGATTCTGGGAGAGCATTTAATACAAAGTACCGCATTTTTCGCACCATAAGACACACTTTTTTCCCACAAAACAGGGGGGTGGAAAGTCTGTGCGTCTTATGGAGCGAAGAAAACAGATTATATTTTCCTGTTTTCTTCTCCTAAAAAATTGGTGCGCCTTATGGAAAGGTGCGTATAGGTGGGGAAAGCGGCACTCTTTTGCTAGCTCTCCCACAGAAAACATAATAAGAGGCTCGAGCTACAGGAAGCAAGGTTCAGGAAAAACGTCTTAACTGTTAAAGCAGTAAAACAATGGAACCATGACCTCAGGAGATGGTAAGTGCTCCGACAATTGAGGCATTCAAGAGAAATTTAGACCATTGGTTCTTAACCTTTGTTACTCAGATGTTTCTGGACCGCAACTCCCAGAAGCCTTCACCATCAGCTCTGCTGGCTGGGGTTTCTGGGAGTTGCAGTTCAAAAATACCTGAGTAACAAAGGTTAAGAACCACTGATTTAGACAACCCCCTGGCAGATATCCTCTGATTTGTATTCCTGCATTGACCAGGGGGTTGGATTCGATGGCCTTATAGACTCCATCGAACTCCATGATTCAGTGCTTCGATATTAGTACTGTAAAGAAAACAGGAGGTAAAAACTGGGAAACCTTGCTTCCCTCATAATACCTAGTTCTGCCTTATAATTCATGTGATGTCTTTAAGGCCTTACGGGACACAAAGAACCTCAAACCAGTATTTGGCTGTTAAAAAAACATAACCAGTTCTGCCAGAGACACTTGTTCTAGCCAGGCCAGCGGCTGAGGAGCCTAACGCCAAGGGAGGCCCAGAAGGAAAGGAGGAAGAGCCGGGCCTTCTCGGCAGTGGCCCCTCGCCTCTGGAACAACTTGCTCGTGGAGCTCCACCTGGCTTCCTCTCTGGATATCTTTAGACATGAACTTAAGACATAGCTATTTAGGCAGGCTTTCCCTCCTGCTGTATTTTAATATCTACATTTTTATATCTTGGATGTTTGCATGTTATTGATTTTATTGTTTTTAAATTTTGCAATGCCACCCAGAGTCTAATAAATAAATAAAATAAACAAAATGGAAAAAGTTTCAGAAAGGAGAGTAAGTACCAGAGAACCAGAATCTGCTTCTGCTTTAAAGAATCCATCCTTAGTACATACCAGGGCCTTAAGAAATAAAGAACTAGAGGACATGTAAAGCCATCATTGCTCTCTTCAAATTGTGAACTCTATAGAATAACTTAAATGATTTTGCTAATATGGAAACAGTTGCTCACAAATTTCGGCATTGCCGTGAAGTAGAAGGCTTTGTCGATCCGAAGCTTCCTGAAGATGTACGCTGCATCATAATGCTGTGCATTTAAAAGCTCCTGCTGGAATTTGCAGACTTCAAACCAATCCTTGAGGGCAACCCTTATCTGAAACAGAAAGGACGCAGAGGTATTTCCTCAGACTGAAGTCAGACACATAACCACAAATGCAAGGCCGCTGAACAGCCCATACTGCCAAATGAAAGTAAAATGAAAAGTACAGGGAGCAGTATTTTAGCATGTACACCTTAAGCCTAGCTCCTGCTAGCAAAACTGGGCTGTATCGCTTCAGAACATGATCATATGGTTAAATGCAGGAGGTTCTCTTGAAATAGAAAACCACAAGATCTAACAGATGGACAGCACTTCTCTGCAGGACACAAATTTCGTATGTAAAGGGAATTTTTTAGTAAAGTGAAACATTCCATCACATGACACCCCTTCCTCACAGAAGCCTGGACAAAATATCTTAAGATAATAGAAGCATTAAACGTAAGTGCATGAAATTCTGTGTGCTTAGAATAATACATTGAAGGTACAAGGTTGTTAAATGGATAAATTCTTCATGCCATTTCCCCAATCACTAATATGGAGGCATGCAAGGAATAAAACTTAATAAAGCCCATGCTTGCTAAAGCCCATGTTAAATAAGAACATATTAATTGTAGTAGAAGACAAAAGGTTCTCTCATCCAGAAGAGCTTTCTTTCCCTTGATATTGTATATGCCTGCACCCAGTTATCTCTAAGAGAACAGAAAAGCATATGCACAGAATCTCCACATGGGCCCTGGAGTGCATAAAGCAGAACGAATCAATGCAAAACCCGCTCTTTCATCACCAGAAAAAAAATTGTACACTGTGATTGGCTAGATGGAATGGAATAAATAAATATATAAATCAAATAAATAAATGAACAAATTCTTCATTCTCTACACAGAATTTTCTTTTTCTTGTCCTTCCCATTTCTGGTCCTCGTTCTTTTGGAAATCTGAAAGGACTTCTTTCTGGCCATTTACTTACTAGAACTGCCTTCATTGCTAACTCCTGGCAGGTTTTAAACTAACTGTTTAAATGGAAGCATCGTTGATACAGTGCTTTTGAAATGTTCAATAGGCTTCAGACATGCCTCAATCTTTAGAACAGCCCCATAATGTAGGTTGCCATTATTCCTCGTAACAGCATGGTGTGACATTCAAGATGTTAGACAAAACTCAGGAAGATCTAGGTTCTGTTTCCCACTGTGATGTGAAACTTACTGACTGGCACTAAGCCAGTTATTCTCACTCAACTTATTTCAACTCACAAAGTTGTTGTGAGCATAAAGGGAAAAGAAAGAGAGCCATATATGCTACCTTGAGCTTACTGCAGGAAGGAGGGAAGATAAATTAAACTGAATTAAGAGTAAGGGGGGACACCGAGAATAAGAAGCCAGTTTGCCAAAGGCCACTTAACAAGTAGTCACAGCCAAGAATTTGACACAGCAGTTGAAATCCTGTTGCTTAGCTTAGCTCACAGTTCCCACCCTGACCTACTGTATTGCAAAAGTCTTATTTTTAAACTCCCATCGCTGTTATGCATCAGCAAAATAAGGTGCAGGTAGAGTAAGGGGTTGAACGCAAATTGGATAAAGCATAATTTACCTTTTGCTTTGGCTGACACAGCTGTGTATTGTAAAACCCATAGAGAAGATAAAGGGCACCGACTCGGATCTGGAACGTGTATGGAGGTAAGAAGTATGGCCACAGAAGAGCTAACGCCTCTTTGGTGAACTTGATTTGCTCCGGAGTCCTGATCTTACCACTAGAAAAAAACAAGATGGCAATATAATGCATGATGTGGGCCAACTTCAGCTACATATACGAAAATACCAGAGAAGTCACATTAACAAGATAAAAGGATACAGAGGTATATCAAGCAACCCACCAGTGTATCACGGAGAAAGGCCAACAGTGAAGTAATCAGAAGAGTGAGACAGGCTAAGATTTATTTATTATTATTTAAAATAATTTTACCTAGCCTCTCTCTTTAAAAATAAAGACAGCATTTCAAGTTAAAAAGAGTAAGTATACAAACACTAAAAAAGGATCCGACAAATACCACATTAAAAAAGAGAAGGAGAAACAGCACACAGCACAAGTGCAAATAGAACCCACATGCAAGAAGAAATGAACAAAGTAGGCAGAAAGCAGTCTGAAATTTACTGACAGACCTCTGTGGACCTTTGGGTGATTCACATATAAGAGTGGCAAGGATTTCTATTTCCAGCTAATTTAATAATAGCAGTTAATAGAACTCTATCCCTACCTAAATTTAGGGTGCTGCAATGCAAAAAGGTAGAAATAACTGGGAGAAATAACTAGACAGTAGATCTCAGGGTTCAAACAAAAAAATATCAGGAGGAACCTGAATACTGAAATCTGAAATACATTGCAAATGGCATAGATGGTTCCAAGCCTTATTCCATGGAACCTCCAAGGGTTTGGGGTGGGTGGGTTGGTTGGTTCGACTGTTACAAGCTGTCAAGGGCTTCCCCACTCTGTGGTCGTGTCAGGACCACTCTAGGCGGCTGTCAAGGGCTTCCCCACTCTAATCAATCACAGCAGGCAAGATTGCCCGCCACCTTCACATCTCTGCTTGGAAAGAAAAACTGCTGCAAGACTACATAGAACTCTATGTAAGATCATCCTAGAACATGGCCCCAGAATGTTTTGCAACGAGCAAGGAGCAAACAAGCCCATCTGGAAAGAGAAATGTGAATCACCTTCCTTAATATAAATTTGAGTCACCACGAAAGGAGAAAAGGCAGGAAAAGAGAAAATTAACTAAATATTTAGTTTCAGTAGCTATAGCTGTAACTGCAGCTCACATCAGCCCAAAGCAGCAACAGGTGGTTTAGGAAAGCCAAGATTCACAGATCTGAAGCCCCAGAATTTCTGAGTAGCAGCGGTTGTGATATTCTCGGCAGTCCTTCCCAAGGTTCCCTCTGAACCCGACTCTCTTAGCAACCAAAAGAAATCTATTTTCCAAAGACTAGCGTATTGTTGGAAGCTACTCTTGTTGTCATGCAAGGTATCTGAGGGTGGTTTGGTCTACAATGTTGTGACTGATAATACCAGTCAATGTTTTTATAATTTTGATTGACTGTGCCTGGCATTTCTTCTTCTTCTTGATGATGATGACGATGATGATGATCATCATCATCGGGGATGGCTCCAGGAACTGTCGTGGAGAGCCCCTAAACTTCCAAGTTTACCACCGACAAAGGATAATGGTATTTGGAGTTTTATCACTGAGCAGGGTGTGGGCGCCTTCCTTTCTTGGACTACAACTCCCATCCCCTTCCCCAGCTTGTCGAAGGGATCCTGGAAGGTAACAGCCCCAAAAGTAACGTTTTAACCCCTTTGGAAGAGGATCGCAGGTGACTCACCGCGAGTCTGAAACTGGGGATCAGCAGACAGGGGGTGCCCCTGTGCGGGTCCCCCCCTCCGGGGACCCCCCAAAGCAAGGAATATGTGGGGGGTTGCCCAGCGCAGTCCCACCCACCCCCACCTCCCACCCGCTATGGGGCGACCTACTAGAAGATGGTGTGGAAGCGCTGTTCCCTCCACAGCGAGGCGAAGTCCTCGAACCGGACGCTCTCGCTCTCCTGGAAGCGCCTCAGGAGCGCCTCGCAGT